GAGCTCCTCGAGATGAAAGACCCGCCCCTTTTTACTCCCTCGCCCGATCTGCCTCCCCGTCTTCGTGTCCTGTATAACACAACCAGAGGGACCAAACAAAACGGATAAACCTTGTTCTGTAAGCTGGCCCACCGAAACCAAATTGGGAACTAAAGCAGGAACATGTAACGTATTTGGCAGCTGCATACGTGAATTACTAATACTCCCAACACCATTAACCTTTAAACTTTGGCCATTTGCAACATGTAAAGCCATATCATGGATAGGAACTAGGTTTCGGATATTGGTAGCATCACGGGTCATGTGGTTGAAACAAGCTGAATCAATCAACCAAGGTTTAGGCGTACCTGTCATTTGTAGGGCAGCAAAGGCACTACTAATAGCACCAGGCAGAGAGCGCTGGAGGGCAGCACTCACAAGCTGCTCCACAGCGGCAGCATTCATTGCCGACGTCGAGGACTCAGCAACACCAGGAGTAGCATAGACTGGACGTTGCTCCACAACGGCTCGGTCCGTCGACGCCGAGCGTGGGTCGTTGGCGCGCGCGGCAGCCCTTTGAGCAGACTTGCAATCCAGCACAATGTGACCACTTCTTTTGCAGTAGACACAGAAGTTCTTACGACGGCAATGCTTCTGATAATGCCCTTTTTCGTGGCAATGATGGCATTCAACATCAGCAGCAGCGATCCGCCGTTGAAATTGGGGCTTCTGCACAGCAAAAACGGAGGACGACGCAGTCGTCGTATCATGATGAACAGCCGCGGCAATCACCGTCTCGCCTTCCCCCGGACGGATGTCAAGTTGGGCCTGGGTGCGAAGGCGAATTTCCTCACGTACAAGCAGACCGAGAATCCCTTCAAGCTTCAAATCGTCGCGGTTCAGCAACGTGGAACGAACCGCCTCAAACTCCGGGCGGAGTTTCATGAGGAACTGGCAAAGACGAGTGTGTTGGCGCTCCTCCATGACCTCGGCAGAGGCTTCCTTGGACCGCAGCGACGCTGTCAACAGGTCCTGCTCAATCCACAATTCCTGCGCAGCACTAAAATAGGACGCAACGTCCTTGTTTCCTTGCTCCAGCCTGCCTAATTCGATTTGGAGTTCGAACTGGCGAGCAGTGTTCACCGTGGAGTAGGTAGAAGCGAGATGAGCCCACATACCATGAGAGGTCGAGTGCATACGCAGCCCTAGAGCGATCATCGGATCAACGGAGCCGAGCAGCCAGGAACGAATCCGGGCATCACTCTGATTCCAGCGAGCGATCTCTTGCGCCGTAGCTGGCGCCGTTGGCTTCTGGATCGTGCCATCAAGAATCTCCAGCAAGCCATGGCCTTCAATGAAGACCCGAAACTGAAATTCCCATAGTGCGTAGTTCTTGTGCGTCAATCGAACGGAGAGCCTCTGTGAATCCATAGCCGTAAGCTCTGATACCATGTTAGAAGACCTGTGAGCTGAAACGTAAAGAACAATAGGTTTACGTGGTTTCCAGTATTGCAGAGAGCAATACCGACTAGTCCACGGGGTAACGGAGTCTCTTATTCAGCTTAATGATCAACGATGGAGTACAAGGGGAATATATACAACCTAAACCCTAATCCATGCTCTCAACAGGCTACGTATGCATGGAATAATGGGCTAGGGAACCGAGCTTATGTACATAACTGGGCCGAGCCCTATATACACTAACATCAAGATCTACTCATCAAACTCTATCATCCATTTGAGCAACCGTTTGTTTCAATACAAAAACACATATGTGTAGTGGATTATTACTTTATCCGTCAACTTGTGGCTTTCCAACCAACTTCTAAAGGAGGGATGGCACATTGGCATGCAGCAGTTGTAAGAGTTGGTTTGAGTGAGGCCTGGGATTGTTAGGTAAAGCGTTGGAGTAGAGGTACATAATAATATCATCATCACCACATGTGTAAACATGCATCAGATGAGATGTTTGCAAAATTTATTTCTTTTTTGCTTATCCTTTCGCAGCCTCCCCTGTCCCAGTCTCTCTCGCTCACTCTCACTCTCACTCCGGCCATAATGGTAATGGGACCTGGTGCGGGTGACAGGAAGCAGGCAGTCGTACCAGAATTCCGTACACAAGGCACCTCGTTGGTTCCTCAACTTGCTACCCGTTTGCCGTTAAAAGGCCCACTCCTATTCTTATATCTTGGGTTCGGTTACTACTTACTAGACTACTATATCCAAAGGGTCGCAAATCGCACCAAACCGTTCACTTTGTGGGTAACCATACCCATTATTTATGAATAGTGGATTAGGTGTGGTAGTAAAATATTGATTTTTTGGTTAGTGATTAACCTCTATCCACAACGGTTAACCCACAATAACCACTAAGTATATTTGTTTATTAATAATACTTGTAATATTAAAGTATGTGAAAAGTAGAATGTTATAGATTAAAATAATCTAAAAAATCAAATACGTACTTATTTTATAAAACAAAACTAGTCAATATATAGTGTCCCTATGAGATACTTTTATTAAGTAAGCATTGTCTGCGTGGTATGTGTTTATTTTATAACAAAACCAAGTCAATAAATGTGGTTTATAGTTTATTTAACATTTTATTAACTTTCTTTTATGTAGGTTTTTGTTTTCATATAAGAAGACGTTAATTCCGCAACTTGGAAGAGAACTCCATTTATCCCTCAAAAATTCGAATAAAAAAACAAAGGAGTCATGTCGCCGATAAAGATACTATGTGTATTTAGATTGTAATGTTGTTGCCCATTTTTTGGCCCACTGGGCAAATGAACGAAACTTTTTGTGGTATCCACACCCAACCCGCACCAACCCGAATGAACTGGATTACGGTCGACCCAAGTGAACAAGCCCCTACTCGATATGGTTCGCAAACAACCCAAACAAATCACATCTGGATCCCGGCAAACTCAGGCAAAGCACCCTGGATCTCTAACGACCTCCGCGATCTACTCCTAACAATGGTCGAAACTTCAAACGGTCCTAACTTCGCGCTCGATTATCCAATCGTCGCAATTTTTTTCCGCATAACTTTATTAAGATTTTCAATGTTTACTAGAGAGAAATTTCCAAAAGAGAGGAGGTTTTTGGATTTAAGTAGTTTTGAGAATGACTATAGATTTCATTCTAGATACATTCTGAAAATACTTGTATAACAAATTTCGTAGTCCTTAAAAAGTTTATGCATAATAAAAAGAAAATTGTGATGATTTATTGGATTGTGTAATATTAAAGTTACGATCGCCCGAAGTTTGGTGAAATAAAAAAATGACCCAATTGGGATAGCAAACGACATTTTTTGGCCACCAATGCGGACGTTGGGTGGTTTGCGACTTCGAAGTTCTCGAAATATTATGCGGAATAAATGAAATTATGTTATGTTTGGATAACGGGCGCAACGTTACGACAATTTAAAGTTTTGACCTAGGTTAGGTGTAGATCGCGTTGGTTTCCAGTTGTTTTTGTAGGGCAATCAGTATGGTTCGCTATTGTGTGTCCAGCGATTTGCATAATTTGTTGCTCAGTCCATCGATCCACCAATATTTGGCTTTGTTCACTTTGTCATCCATGATCCACCCTTGTTAGCTCGTAACTAGGGCTGACAAATTTCCCAAACCTATGTGTATTTTACTATCACAACCCAATTTGCTGCTCTATCCATTGATCCACCAATATTTGGCACGGTTCACTTTGTTAGCCGCCATCCACCCTTGTTAGCTGCTAACTAGTGAAGACAATTTTGCCCAAACTCATTTGTATTTTACTATCCAACCCAATTGAGTTGGGTATGAGATTCACATAGATGATAAATGGGTAGACTTTGATAAGTTTATAGTATACCCATACCTATTTATTTGGATTGAGTTGGGTTTTTAATCCATGGATTTGGGTTTGTACCCATGCTCTTTTCCAAATTACAGTTTGGTACCTAAATTTAACATATCTTTAGATTTAGTACCTGAATTTAATTTTTGCATATGTTCTCAAAATATCAATGAAAAATCAATGCAGTCAAAATCGCGTTTTAAAACTTAAAAACTTACGATTTTACGCTTTTAGGTCACCAAAACGCTTTCGTTTCCATATAAAAACTTAAGTGTATAAAATCGGACTAAATTGCGCTTTAAAGCTTAAAACCTTACGCTTTTATGCTTCTAGTTTACCAAAACGCTTTACGTTTTTACGTTTTTAGTTCGCTAAATGAGTATTCTTTTCATGAAATTAATTATAAAAAGTATATTTTAAAAGTAAATCACCAACAATATGATACATTTGAGATTAATAGATACATATCATGTACTTGGATGCATTCTCAACTTTAATAGAGTAATCTAATTCACCAACTAGGCTCTTCCCGAATGCTTTAGCATAGAGGAAGAAGTGGCTTATTGTTAAAATTTATATTTACAAACTTATTATTAAGATGCTACAAGTTGCTCTACTTGAGGCATGAATTGCATGTATTTATTAACTTATCTAAATTCCGTGCATTCATAATTTACATAGTATATGTCCTAGCTTTTTAGTTATTTTTCAGTATGCTTCAAAAACTTACGTTTTTACGCTTTGATTCTACGCTTTATGATTTTACCCCTTTTCCGCTTCTAGGTAGAATCGCGCTTTTGACTGCATTGTGAAAAATTACATTTTAGTACCTAAGTTTTTGTGTATTACATTTTAATAACTAAAAACTTTTAAGTTTCATAAATAGGTCCAATTTTTTTATGCAGAATATAGATAAGAGACAGAATAGGATAATAAGTACCCTAAGCATTGATATGGACTTAGATAAGAAAATCCAAATTGCAGAACTACCAAATAGCTCAAGAACATCATCCGACAATAATCTCATACTACTAGACAATCTAAGGATAACCTAAAATGAGATAATGCTATCCATAAATCACAACATAAATATCGATACATAAGTCACCCTATAGAATGGGGACTGAGCTATTGCTAGAAGAACTAATAAACTCTCCAACTCCGATACAGAATGTCTAAGTAGCCACCCAAAATGGTTCCCAATTCATCAATCCTCTGTTTCCCTCCCCTGCTTCCTTGCACCTCCCACTCCTCGTGCTAATTCCACCGCTTGCCCTATCCACTTCCTCCGTCTCTTCTCCTCCTTCTTTCTCCTCCTCTGTTTTTGCACCCTCTGTTTTTTCGTCCCCTGCTTCTTCATCTTGAGTTGGGTATTCGGTAGTAAGATGAAGCCGGAGGCGGCCGTTGCTCCTCTCAGCGTGGAATTGAGCACGGGGAGGCGACACAGAGACTGCGGTCACCACGAGCCTCCCGTCTTCCCGAAGAGACCGCATTCGGACTCCGGTGGATCCTCCAATTGAAGACAGGGGAGGCGGCAACGTTACGCACCCTCTCCTACTTCTCCTCACATTTCTCACCCTCTGCCTCGCCGCCGCTCTGCTACTACTAATACTCACACTAGTCTTCCCCAAATCCCCCTGCTCTACGCTATCCGCCGCCACCGCAGATGCAGAGAGCGGCGGCAGCAGCAGCAGCTCGTCGTCGTCGCTGCCGCGGTCGTCGCTTCCGGTCTCGCTGCCAAGGCTCTCGGTACACATTTCGAGACTCTGTTTACTGAGCGAGGAGGCAGAGCGCTTCATTATGCTGCTGTTGTTGCTGTTGCTACTACTTGGGGCCAGAGTGAATGCTTGGTCTCTGTTTGTTTCGCCGGTTTCTTTCGCGGCGATGCATTGGAGGAAGCTGAAGCCACCGGCATTCTTGTTGGATTCCGGGTCTGAAGCAATGTTGGGGGTTTGTTGAGTCAATCGAAGCCGCAGAACGCGTGGTTCGACCAGCCTGGCGGACTCCACGCAGGATTGGAGGGCCTGATGGTAACTAGAAGGGGAAATTGACGACATTTTTTTGGTCCTGAAAGTCGACCCAATTTGCTCTGTTGTTGAGTGAAGTTTTTGTTATGGTATCTGAGATTTAATTAGAGGAAATTGTTATGTTATGGGTTGGGTTTTGGTTTGGGAGAGGAGAAGAAGGGAAGTTGGGCAGTGAATGGTACGGTGTAGGAGAGAAACAGAGGGAATGAGGAAATGAGTGGGTGGCATGAAGGAGAAGTGGGAGAGGGTGGGCATGAATTTATAGGGCCACGAAAAGCCGACTAGATGCTAAACAAGGGAGAGAGCCAGAGAGGAGTAGGTTGGTTTGTTTGTTTGATAGTAGGCGTCTAAAATGGCGAAAAGAATGTGAGGAGCGGCACACAGAGACAGAGAGAGATAGGGGGGCGGGGAAGGGAGGGGGAGCATCTGGCATTCTCCATTCTGGAAAGCAACAACAAGACAGACGGTTATTCTTCTCACATGCAATTCATTACTACGCCTTCGATTCAAACTCACGCCGAGTATTTCTCAAACAAACAGCTAACAAACACACGGAGAGTAGTCTCTACAACTTCTCTAGTCTGCGAAGCACCGGTCTTAATTATTATTTTTATTGAGAGCTAATATCACAAGAACACCCAAACTTTGTAAAACGTGTCATTTCTAGTACAAACTTTTCAAAATAACAATCACAACACTTGTTCGTTGTTTCGTCCCCGTGGTTACTGTCAATAATCAATGCATTGTGGTTGAGTCGGAACTTGAAATTATGAGTGTGTATGTTTCAGAATATAAATAAACATATAATACATATAACAAGAAGTGAGCTTTTGTGAAGTACCAAGTTATCCTCATGCCTAGTGATGGCAATGGGGCGGGGCGGGGCGGGTACCTCAATTCTCATGCCCCGCCCCACGCTACTACAGGTTGGGCGGGTAAAACCCGCGCAGGTACGGGGCGGGACGGGTCGACCACTCTTACATGTTGTTAAAAAAATACTAGTAAATTTTACTTTTTACAATAAAACGTAGGGAAAAACACTTTAAGAATGAAAAATATTGATAATAGAATGGATAATTGAGCCTAACAAGTTGAAAGATCGACTCTAACTAGTTGAAGAAAAGTCAAAATAGAAGAAATATGTATAGATATTGTAAGAAATTGAGATAAAATGAGTCTAGAACGGGGCAGGACGGGTCGGAAGTAAATACCCATGCCCCGCCCCCACGCTACTGCAGGTAGGGTAATATCCGCCCCATCGCGGGTCAGGTCGGGTAATACTCGCGGGGCGGGTTGAAATTGCCATCACTACTCATGCCACCTCAAAATGACTAGTTCGACCCTTGCATAAATATAGATAAGAGTTTTTTTTTAACCAAAACTTACATGTCCCTGTGAGCCTGTGACAGAGGCATAAGGCCTCACCTCTGCCTATAGTGCCATATGATTTCAATTTATGTCATTTGGAGAACATGATTTGGGACATGGATAATGGATTTATTGAATCCTTAGGTTATCCAAAAAGTTAAATGTATTTATATCGAGGATTGAAAGTTCATATATTTCAAATAAAATATAGAAGTATCAAATATCTAATAATCATAGAGATTCTCATCTTGATTTTTGAGACCTTTTCTCCTACTTTATCTCTTTATTTGTTTCCTACTAAATACTCTTATCGATAAATTCACAATATTTATCGAGTATGTCAGATTATTTTGATCAAGAGTAAACATGTCATTTGCTAAAAATAATTTATAGTTTTCATTTAATGTCAACAATTGTCGTTATCATACTATTAACATTTAAAATCATTTTTCAACAACTCGAAGAGTTAAACTCTTTAAATTGTTTAAAATCTAGAGATTTAGACTATTATTCTCCAAATCAACCCATAATATACACATAAAACCCGAATCCTTCCTCAAGCAATGCGGATTAATGAGAAAAATACTAAACGACCCCAAAAGAATGAAAACTGAACAAACAGACAACACATTTAAGGACCATCTTCCATAGATTTGAAATGCCGTTTAAATAGTTGTCACCACCTATATAAGGCTCCCCAAAAAACTCCTTGCCTACTCCCACATAGTGACGTAGGCAATCTTGAGCTTTTAAGAAGACCAAAAAGTTATATTATAATGCAATTAATCAACAAAGATTAGCCAATGAATGATCAGTGTGGAATTAACAATGCCAATTAGTCAACTAATTATTAATTAACCGACCACATGAAGGCCTGGTCATTGGCTGATTCTCAATCCACTTCATTCTGCTCCCCAATCATTCGAGAACTGGAAGACTTGGCAAAACTTTGATATTCTTCAAAGCCAAGCCACTCTTTAATCTATCGTACCTTCACCCCAAAGCAGGGATAACTGCCGCCCTCTCCAAATTTCATTACAGTCTAATTCGTTGCATCTTTTGGCCCTAATAAAGCAGCTTCCCTAACCAGACGCCACACCCCTTTTTTCCAGGAGAAAATTGCCAAAATATTATTTTTTTTTATTTACCACCAATATGGTGATTTTAAATTTATTTACACAGATATTGTGTTTTTTGGGGAAAGAGGTGCGGGCTCGCAGGAGTCTCAATTTTTTGGGGAAAGAGGTGCGGACCCGCATGGGACTGCTGCGAATTCACATAAGAGGAAGGAACCCGCAGCGGACTCCTGCGGGTTCGCATAAAGAAGAATCTTCTTATCTTCTTCTCCACCCCCTTCATCCGCAGCGCCTTTCTTCCTCCTCTCCCAGAACCATCGCCGCTCCACCCCCAACCCCCCCCCCCCACTCCCCATCGCCGCCCCGCCACGCCCCGCTCGCCGACCGCCACAAAACCCACATTTCCAAGGTGGATTCGCACCGGACTAGCGCGGATTCGGTCGAGAGTCACGCGGAAGCGCACCAGAGTAGAGACGCCGAACAGAACCAGATCTGTTTTTCTGGTTTTGATGTCGGACTCCGACGAAGAACAGGCGGTCGCCGGAGGAAGAGGCCGTGGAAGAGGACAGCAAGCACGCGGGCGGTACCGAGGTGAGCATCGGTTGGAAAGTCGCCGCCGGTCACCGGAGTGTCGCCACCGGCGACCGGAAAGTCGCTGCCGGCGGGTTTTTATTTTCTGCTTCTATTTTTTGTTCAGTTCCTAGGATTCTTGACAGGCATTCTACGAGACGACCACCTGCGACGATAGATACAGCTCCGGTCGATTCAGTACTCCTTTGGGCACATGGTCAACATCGTGCCGACTCAGTTTGGATTAACGAGGTAAGTATTTTATGTATTTTATTTCATTAAAGTTCATTAGCTAATTAGATTAGAATATTGTGAAATTTGTATTAGTTTGATTATATATATTTTACTAAATTAGATTGAATTACTAGGTCAACTGAAATATTAATTGAATGTGAAATTTTGTGAAATTATTATTAGTTTTAGATTTTGTGAAATTAGTATTAGTTTGATTAGATATATTTTACTAAATTATATTGATTTTACTAGGTAAATTGAAATATTATAATTGCATGTGAAATTAGTATTAGTTTTCATTACATATATTTTTAGTAAATTAGATAGATTTTACAATATGTTCTGAAAATAGAATTATGCCATGAAATTAAATTAATATAAGTTTTGTGCACTATAGGCTGGTGATCGTGTTTACCAGACTCGCGGTACGACCAAATTGGTCACGTACCATCCACGTTATGAGCCGTATCTCCAGGATGCCAGTTTGTTTAGCATTCAGCAGTTGGTCCCTATGACTGGTTGTATAGATGCATCTTTGATCACCGCTCTAGTAGAGCGTTGGCGTCCTGAGACATCGACCTTTCACATGCCGGTCGGTGAGGTTACGATCACTCTTGAGGACGTTGCCACACTGAGCGGTTTACCGATCGACGGTGAGGCCGTCATAGTAGATGTACCAGATCGTGAGTGGTCGGAGACGTGTACCAGACTGTTAGGACATGCTCCTAACGATCTTAGCGGGGGTGTCGTTAAGCTTAGTTGGCTTAGGGAGCATTTCAACAATCTGCCGCCAAATGCATCAGTAGAGATTACAGGGCAGTTTGCACGAGCGTATGCCCTATCTTTGATTGGGTTTATGTTGTTCCCCGATCGGACTGGAGCTACAGTTCACCTGCAGTATCTACTCCTATTGGAGAATTGGCGGACCGCAGGAGGCTACGCTTGGGGAGCAGCTGTTCTAGCCTACCTTTACCGTGAGATGGGTAGGTCGGTTCTGCATCTGACGCGATCCTCTTCCACCAGAGGTGACCTTGGTGGCTGGGTCGCCTTGTTGCAGCTCTGGGCGTGGGAGCGATTCCCATTGATAGCACCCCGACATACAGTGACAGATGAGCCTATTACAGCGGACGCATCTCCACGTGGTGCTCGATGGCTTCCGGCCATGACCCGTCATTAGAGGTGTCAATCGGGCGGGTTCGGGCGGGTTCGGGTTGGGTTCATTCGGGTTGCGGGTTGGTCGGGTTGCGGGTCGATCGGGTTGCGGGTTGATCGGGTTGCGGGTTACTCGGGTTACGGGTCAATCGGGTTACGGGTCAATCGGGCTGCGGGCCATTCGGGTTGCAGGCCAATCGGGTTACAGGTCAGGCGGGAGCGGGTCAATCGGGTTGCGGGTCGGGCGGTTCGGGTTGCGGGTTTTACGAACCAAAATATTGCGTTACGTTTTAGTGATTATTGGCGGGTCTCGGCAGGTGGGGGGAATCAAATTTTTGGGCAGTAGTATTGGGGGAACCCAAAATTTGGAGAGAAAAGTTTAAAAATAGTTTTTTAATTTTTTAAAAACAAGTGAAATTGTTCATATAAATGTATAGAGAAATTGTTGATTTAGCTAGTTAATTGTTTATATTATTTTTGTATTAAACTAAATTATAAAATTTAGAAAAATTGTTGTGAGTTCAATTGTAACTTTACTCGATAACATATAATCTAAACTCTAAATAGTATATACCCTGAACCCCAAATGATTTTATTCATGAACATGTGTTAATAAATAACTTGATCCTTATTATTTATGATTTTGATTAATCTTGGCTAAACCATTAATAGTTTAATACCTTAACCCTAAGCCATTACCCTATACGTCGACTCTATATCATATACACTAAACCCCTAATGGTTTGATTGATGAACATATGTTAACAAAAGAAACTTGATCCGTATTAGTTATGATTTTGACTAATCATGGCTAAACTATTAATACCTTATACCCTATAAGTCGACTTTATAATCTATACCCTAAACCCCTAATGGTTTGATTCATGAACATATATTAATAAGAAAACTTGATCTTATTAGTTATGATTTTGACTATTCATGGTCAAACCATCAATACCTTATACTCTAACCATATACCCTACAAGTCGATTCTATAACCTATACCCTAAACCCCTATTAGTTTGATTCATGAACATATGTTAATAAGAAAAGTTGATCATATTAGTTATGATTTTGACTAACCGTGGTCAAATCATTAAGACTTTATACCCTATAAGATGACTCTATAACCTTTACCCAAAATCCTAATGATCTGAATTCTGATTGATGAACATGTGTTAATAAGAAAAGTTGATCTTATTAGTTATGATTTTGAGTCACGGTAGTGTTTCCTGTACTTAGAGGTATGCTACTAAGCACGGTAAAATTTTCTGTAATTAATTTGATAAAATTCATCTGGTCAAAAAATTCATTTGATTCAAATTTTGGCATCAACCAAAATTATTTGGCTCCAAAGTTTCCCACCGCCCAAAATTCATTTTCAGTTTTCGCTCAAAGTTTCCCACCGCCCAAAATTATTTGGCTCCAAAGTTTCCCACCGCTTCAGGACACAAAGGGAAAAGCAGACCGGGAAGAGGAGGAAAAGGGAAAGACAGAAGGCGGTCGGCTTTCAATAAATTCCATCTACTTTGCCGGAGGCTTTCATCCTGCCTTGTTCGTCTATTTTCCATACGACGCGGTCGGCTTTTGTGCATCGATTCGAACCCTAGAATCCATCACTTCCTTCTTGCTTGCTGCCATTCGCTTCTCTCTATCGATTCGCATCTCCATCTCGCGAGCTCAATAGTTCAGGTATGGATTCCTTTCTTCTTCGTGGGATCACTCTTTAATGGCTAGTCATTCAATAGCAGCTGAATAGGAACCCTGCAATCTGAATATTATTAACATAATAGCCGAGAGGGTTATGTGATAGAAACACGCTTAAGCGGCGCTGCTAGGTTAGGACGAGGATGACCATTCCTTTGGGTGATGAGCTACATCTTCTTCCAGGCTGCCCGAGGCGATCTGCTAATCTTCCCGCCGACAGTCTCATCGGCCGCTCCTTTAAGCTACGTCATCCATCATGTTGGCCGCTACTGAATGTTAGTCGCCAATCATCAACAGCAGCGGTTGAATCGCTGATTAGCTCTCTAAATCCTCTATCCTCTGCCTCTCAATTAATGGAAACTCTGCTTGTAGTAGTGTGTGGTTTCGTTGCAGAGGAGCCTCCTAAGTTTTGGCATGCATCCACATGTCAAATAAGCATGACACCTCACCAAATTTGCCTACATACTCGTTAGATACTCTGCCACATACTAGAATGGAATGAAAGTGGTTGTTCTAGACTTCTAGTAGCATTTAGGAATTTAATCTCATTATTAGTTTTCAGTTAACCTTGGTCTGCTAAAAAATGCCCATTTTCATGCTCTCTAGATCCAAATGAGTTAAGCGTAGAGGGTTATACGTACCCAGCAGCTCTGGAAGTTGTTGTGACAACTCGTAATTGGATACGAGGATACCAAATGGATAAGAAAAAACAAATTGTTATATTTGTACTGAACAAACTGTTCTCTTTTTCTTATTATTTTCTTTTCACTGATTAATTGTACAGATGACGATGATGAAGATACGAGGGATGATGGAGAAGAAGTAAAGCTTCTAGAGTGATCGTCATTTGGAATATCAATTTGTATTTTGGACATGTTTTATTGATATTTGAGGTCTTGAGACAATATGAACTATTATGAGTCATGTATTCTTGTTTATGATCAGACTTTTGTGAATTATTATTAGTCTTTTTTTATGATAGGACCATGATATTTGGATTTTAAATCTTATAATTATCTTATTACGCTAAACTAATATTTTATAATGTTATGTGGACTATTAGGTTGATGATGTATCTAAATCAATATTTGATGATGTTATATGCGTTAATAGGTTGATGATATATATTATTATACTAAGTTAATAATTAATGATGTAATGATCAGACTTCAGTGAACTAGGATTTCAAATGTCAACTTATAGTTTATCTTCATCGAATTCCTTCTATTATAGTCGGGCTGCGGGTTGGTCGGGTAACGGGTTCGGGTTAGTCGGGTTGCGGGTTAATCGGGTTGCGGGTCGATCGGGTTGCGGGTTGGTCGGGTTGCGGGTCGATCGGGTTGCGGGTCGATTGGGTTGCGGGTCGATCGGGTTGCGGGTTGGTCGGGTTGCGGGTCGGGCGGGTTGCGGGTCATTGACTTTTAGTCAAATCGGGTTGCGGGCGGGTTGCGGGTCGGGTTGATCGGTCGGGTTACTCGGGTCGGGTTACATTTTGACAGCTCTACCCGTCATCATGGTGACCAGCTCTTCAGTTATAAGTTGTTTTTTGACGAGCTGGAGACGATCGTGGTTAGTAATAACATTTCAAAACCAGAATAGTTTTTGGTTCACATTAGTTTGTTTTAGACTAAGTTGTAATAATGTGCCCACCTTTCTGTGTAGTGGCTGCCTTACTGGTAGAGAGACCTGCAGTTTAGGGGTTCCGTTCCCCAGTCAGATACCTTCCGAGCTGTGGTTCCACTGATATGCTTTTCAGTAGTGATGTGGCACCATCCAGATCGGGTACTCCGACAGTTTGGCATGATGCAGAACGAGCCTCATCACCCAGCTCCTGAGGCTGAGATTAGGTGGTTTCTTCGCCAGACAGCTCGTGGGCCATCGCGAGGGCAGCGATTGATGCACGCCAACAGAGAGTCGATTGATTTCTGGAGTCGTCGACATGAGTATATAGCGACTAGGCCATATAGCGACATGAGTATTTCATGTCATGTATGATTATTATGTATGATGGTGGACTATTTATTTCATGTCATGTATGATTATTGTGTATTATGGTGGTCTATTTACACACTCGATCGTTCAAACCATAACAACATCAACTCATTACATATAAGTCGAAAAACAATAACAAACATCAAACAATTACACACTCGCACGTTCAAACCATAACAACATCAACCCATTACATATACGTCGAAAAACAATAACAAACATCAACAATTACATACCACGTCTATTACCACTACTTCCTCTTGTACCACCTCCCGCACGTCTACCACTTCCTCTTCGTTGCCTCTCACTACCACTTGCTCCTCCACCAGAAGTTGATGCATCATGTCCACCTAGTTCCTCTCTTGGCCAATCCATCTCGTTGTGAATTCTCGTTGTTCATGGCCTCCCCGGTTTCCTAATCATGTGCACATTAGGATGGAGAGTAGAATCATTGTGCTTCTTCCACCCCTTAGGTTCACCAAGAGGTGTGAAACTTGTCCCATAACAAGCCAACACTGTTTCCAGCTTATAGATGTCATTTACAAACATATACGGGTTAGCCCCCATTCGGTTGCAAGCTGCAATGGCATGAGAGCAAGGAATTTTATTTCCTTGGAATTTCCGACAAGTGCAAAATCCCGCTCGATTGGGTTCATCGAAATGCACTGTGAGTGTGTTCGAACCCGTCATGTTGAAATAGTTGGGAGGAGTCTGTACTACATAGATGCCCTGACGTCGATCAACCCCCGTCACGGAATGTCCCACTGCCTTTTGTGACAATGTATTCATCTTCTCTTCGCACTTGATGGTGTACTGTGAAGGTCCACTTATGATTTGTGCTTCTGTCTCCAACCTCATCTTATCGAATTTCTCCAATAATCGCCAATAAGTATGTTGCACAAGAGAAGCTATAGGAAGTGAACAAATACCTTTGAAAACACCATTGATGCTCTCTGCCATGTTGGTCGTCATCATAGACCATCGAGTCCCACCACTATAGTTATCATGTGCTAAGCTCCAACGAATTTGATTTTGATCCACCCAGTTATCACAAGAAATATTTCTTTCAGTGGCCATCTTCTTAAATTGCCCAACTTGACGATCGAACTTCTCCAAGCGTTTTTCTCGGGCTAACAAAACAAATAACCACAAGAAATAACCACAAGAGTTAGATAAATTCATGATAATATTAAATTAAAATAAATAATATGTTGGAGTGTCAATCAATAACGATGAAGAGACTTACCGACT